TTGTCGGGTCAATTCTGTCGACTTGTCGACTTGTTGCCTTCTTCACAAGGCGACGATTTAGATTCATTTGAATGGCCGCTAACAGCCACCATACAATCTCTAGCGTCTGGTTATTCCAGTCATGCGTTCCAGATAAGAATATGGCGTCACCGTTTGACATGGCCTGTGGAATATGTCTATCCTCGTTCTTCGAGTCTCTTGTTACAAATGGCGCTTAAACGCATTATGGTACACGATTCGTGTACCAATGCTAAAATGTTTATTTTATCTTAAATATCGGAACCCAGAAGCCCACCTTTTCCCGGTAAGATCACAACATCAATGCTAATTTAAATTGACAAATAAGTCGTGTTTTTAATGTCTAAGACTTTGGATTATATTCATTTAGAGACTTAGCTACTTTAAACCTATGTCATATATTTTCACAATAAAGATTATATAATCTTCAAAAAAAGTAGGGGATATTCAGAAACAATACAAAACTGCGGAAATGCACTGCTGTTTTTATAAGAGGTAACCAGTGTGTGTTAATAACAGGCCAATTGCCTACACATGAACATAAACAGTTTATATGGGCGACTTATCTGAAGGCCCCATTTCACTCGCAAAGAGATACACTGTCAAAAGTGAAAATGGACGTTTTTGATTTTTGTCTTAATAATAAGTAATTGCTACACCAATCCTCAGACATTCAGCAATTCGTCGTGGCATGCTCCTAATCAACCGTCGACTCATGAATTGGGGCAATCTGACCCACTCTTCTTGCAGTGCCACTGCCAATTCTTGCAGTGTTGTCGGTTGACGTTGACGTCGACGAACACGTCTCCCGATCAAATTAAACGTAACACACTAAAGCAAAGATACGCTAAACAGTAAATCTTATGCAAGAACCGATAGGAAAGCAAACATGGATAGGATAAACCAGAAGGCGGCAGTTTTCATCAACCCTTCCTTGAAGTGTCAAATTTGACAATGAACCCCTCCTACGTGTATGTCGCTATTGGGTGTCGCACATGCAGCTGTGAACATACTCTCAAAGCATGTCAAGTGTCCATGACTATTTATCATATCACAACCTGCATAGTATTTGCATTTCAATATCCCCTACTTTTTTTGAAGAGTATATAAACTTAGTTATAAAACCAGAATGTCCCGAAGTTAATTCATCATATACACAGCGTGAAAGTCCTGACTAGATAAGTGTCACCCTAGTGTCACGGGACGTTTTCTGGAAGTTCCTGATTAGATAGTCACATCTGGCCTGTAGTCCCAGCTCAATGGTTTTTAGTGCCGTGTCGAAGGATAGACACGGCGTAACCCTATCTGTAATGTCACTATAAACTAAAATTGAAATGACCTAGTTTGTGTCGAGTGGACGTTAAACACCATTTCTCTCTCAAAACGTCATTACCTACTGGGCAATCGTTCAAAATGCTATCACATGTTGGGTGTAACGCGTAGATTTCAATAGATATATTATTTTGAATGGGTCACGTGTGTATTGTGTAATACGAAATATCATTTTATTGCACTTCCTTGTCCTTTTTGTAATATACATACATACAACAAAACTGGCGTGTCATCAAAACGTGTTAAATATGTATACATAAATCGTTCTACACCATTCTTCACATTTTTATGATAGCAATTACAAGACAATTATAGCAATAATATATGAATTTAATATCCATAATTACTTGAATTACGTCTATCAGGTTAGTAGTACCATCAAGAGACAGTGGTTCGAGATCAATAAACTAAAGCTAGTTACCTGTATGAACTATTCAACTATAAAGCAGGTGCCCGGTAGCCGCGGTGTTCGATCCCGGTGTTGGACGTGATTTTCCGACGTCGTCCCCCCTTGTCCGTGGTGCAGGACGTAGGGTCTGACAAGGGACAACATATAGTGGCGAGGAAGGGACAACATTGACGTGCACGTAAAGGAACCTTTGACAGTTGGAATTTGATATAGGAGGAGGCTGTAGCGCCACTGCCAGGGCGAAATTTCCCGTATAGCACACTCTATGGCGTATGCCCGACTTTATTAGATAAGTCGGAACAGAACAGTAGGACGTTGAACCCCATTTCATTTCCTTTACGATTTCATATTATTAATAAGTTTATTCAGTATTTAAGGTCTGTGACCCCATATGGTACAACTGATGGGTTTAACGTCCACTCGACACAAACTAGGTCATTTCGGGACTAACATGTGGTTCACTTTTATTTCATTAATTCGCTTGCGCGTAGGTGTCTTTAGCAGTGGGAGGAAACCGGAAGACCAGGAAAAAACCCACGAGGTTGGACAGGCAACCCTACTCCTTGTCACGCACAACCGGGGAATCAAAACCACGCCACTTGACTCAATGACAGACCTTATGATACAACGCGTACGCGCTAATCATTCGGCCACCCATCCCCACAAATAAAGATGAATGGTATTTCTCCCTTAAAGCGGAAATTGCAAATTTTCAAGTTATATTATTAAAATGTATTAAAATAAAGCCTTAAAATAGATGGTATCCATAAACAGTCCTGCCTTGTTAAAGAATAATCCTATTAATCCTATAATTCGCTATTGCCAGCTGAGAAATTGGCAAAAATATCATTTTTAACTTCAAATTCCAACGTTGGAAAATGGCTGCCCCATGTTGTCAATAGCAAAACAGGGGAGGCAATTGTGTTGTTATTTCCTGTGTCATAGAATTTTAAGGTTGGGAAATAATGCCCATGATCGTATTATAGTGATTTGATAACCTATTGAGCAAAAGACATAGAAATAATTATGTTTTGACTTTCTTAGAAAATTTGAAATTCTCGCTTTAAATATGTCAGATTATGACATTGAAAAAGAAAGTTAAAGGTTGTCTGGTTACCTTTAGTACACAATGGACTTTTAATAGCGCTTCTTAGCAATGGCAGGGCACTCACAAACCTATGTGGCGCCCAGGGCAAACGTCTCTTGTGAATGCTTAAGTTATAAGTGATGTAATTTTCATGACAAAGTGTTTATTTAGATCAATTAGTCAATTCCGACAAGCATGAAAACAAATAAAGCAATTTCTGAGACTACTTCGAGAGTTAAAACGGTCATATCCTAAAAATGGCTAGACGGATTTGCCTTACATTGAATGCAGCACTAAACACAAACCAAGCCTAATCAAATATTAGTAAAGTAAGGGCACCCGTTTAAATATTTTAGCGCGATATCAAGTATTAAAGTAAGGGCACCCGTTTAAATATTTTACCGTATTAAAGTAAGATCACCCCTTTAAATATTTTACCGTATTAAAGTAAGAGCACCCCTTTAAATATAAACTTAACGACCAACTTAAGAAGATTCTGATGAGATGTCAAAAATTAAAGTAGGAGCCGTTACATAATGGCAGATGTGCTATCTTGACACATGATAGGAACTAATTTTAATATCCTCCTGTCTACTATCGACACCCATGTTGTCGTTATTATTATAATATAAACGTATGGCTGGACTGTAAAGCAACCTGTACTGAACACATGATGTTATATAGCCAGCTGCATATATCACGTCGATGATCCTTTGTCTAGAAAGGGATTATAAGCAGGAATCAAACTGAGACAGTGGTCATCTAAGTTAGTTGGGAGATGTCAAGTATTAAAGGAATAATTAATGACTGATTTGCGAAGAACATTTTTAAATATTAAAGCAAGATCACCCCTTTAATGCCAAAACTAACGTAAAAAGTCGTTTTTTTTAAGCGAGATGTCCCTTTTATTCAATATGTAATAAGTTTGTTACTAGTCAATCCGCCATTTTGTATTTCACTCTTGAAAGGCAAGTTTTGATTTTGGTGTCGAGCGTTTTATTTTGACAGTTTTTGGAAAATCGTCAATTTTATTTCAATATGTAATTTGAGTGCGATTTCAATATGTAATTTGCGTGGGATTTCAATATGTAATTTGAGTGGGATTTCAATATGCAATTTTAGTGCGATTTCAATATGTAATTTGAGTGCGATTTCAGGAAAGAATGCTGTCATTGGCGTCATTACATTGTGTGGGAATGGAATTCTCAGAACACATTTCAGTTGCTGTGAAGACGAACGTACAGTTGGAATTCGATATAAGAGTAGGACGTGGCGCCGCTGTCATGACATATTCCCGTCTTCATTGGTTCGGATTAAACAGAACAGTAGGACATTAAACCCCATTTTAATTTATTTCATCTACTAACGCTGTAAGAATGAGTTGTTTAGCTGCCAATAATAACAAACTACGATCGTATGTCCAATATTGTGGAACCATTAATATGATTCCGTGTTGCCTTTAGACATAGTCACAAATGTTGATACATTTTGTTTATTAATTTCAATATGGTAGTATGTATGTCTATACTTGTTACAATAATGACGAGCGCAGGTTTTATTAATAGGTTAACTTTAAGTGATGTTTTATATTATATAGGGAGTGGGGACGTAGGTGGTCAACTGGTCTAACACCTGCACTTTACACGTAAGGTCTGTTATTGAGTCAAGTGGCCTTGTTTCGATGGGGATCACGTGGCTAAGTGGGTAAGACGCTGGCTCGCTAGCCTGCATTGTTCGATCCCTGCATTGGCCGAGAAAGTTCATCCCGATTTTCCGGCGTGGTTTCCCCTTGTCAGTGATGCAGGACGGAGGGCCGATATAAGAGTAGGCCATAGTGCCACTGCCCGGGCAAAATTTCCTTCATAGCACTCTGTATGGCGTATGCCCGGCTTCATTAGCCCAGTATAGGAGCAGAACAGTAGGACGTTAAACTCCATTTCATTTCATTTCCTTGTTTCGATTCCCAGATTGTACGTGGCAAGAAGAGTATAGGATCGCGTGCCCATGCAACCTCGTGGGTTTTATGGGGTCCTCCCGTTTTCTCTCCCTGCCAAAGACCCCTACGCATGTGTTAATTCCGACATAGTTTGTGTCAAGTGGAGTCTCTCTCTCTCTCTCTCTCTCTGTATATCTGTATTTTATTATCCAGGTAATGGTCATATACCATACATACGCCAATACCCTGAAAGTCTGGCCGGTTCCAGCGTTTACCTGTCTGTAGAAGCCAAGGATAGGGGAACTGCGGCTCGTTCTTCAACAGGTACCGTAGTCATAACGCTAGAAGCTACAACTACTACGTCAACGACAATGACAACGGAGAACGTAGCTATATTTAGTATCTTGATGATTCTAGTGTTGCTGGCATTCTTAATTGGTCTCTACTTCCTGTTCCGGTGGTGTATTACCGGAAGTTGTTGTGGTGGGAAAAGTGGTCAAGGTGGTATTTGTGACAACTGCTGTAGACCAACTCCACCTAGACGTGTTCAACCGTTACCCATGGTATACGAAGACTAGTGAGTCCTTTTTTTATTACACATTTATCCTGAACAACAAGATCTCAGAAATACTGGATAGAATGGCAATACGTCAATTGCAATCATCCCAGGAATAAATTGTTTCTTTATTTTGTTAGACACAGATAATTTTGTAAAGTCTAGAGGTAATAAGTTTTTGGTAATAAATTGTTGTTGTGTATATTCACAGTGTTGTGCCGCCAGTAGCATCCAGTGATTATAAAGGTGATTTCTGGCATACAGGTAAATAACTTACACTATTAACTTCATATCTGTGGTGTCCTTTTGGTCTGCCTAACTGCAATCTGATTACAATACAGATCTATATTACGCTTCACCTGGTTGTAGTGGAAGGTCGGCTCACAGCTCATACGGGCGACTTTTGACCCTATGACGTCAGACATTTGATTAACGGATTAACATTGATGTTTCTAGTGGATTACCCACAGTTTCGTGTACCTCACACCAAAGACTCGCCGTAACAGACCGTTTCACTGGCAAATCCAGAACGCGGGTTATATAACAATTCTTCCAGATGCTAGTGTAGTAAAGACAAATAAAACGAAATTTTGAACTTTACCCCCCCCCCCCTTTCCCTCCTCCTCACCCTCAGCGAACACAAAAACCGAGGTCCCGTGTACACATTGGCGTGCACGTAAAAGATCCCTTGGCAGTTGGAATTCGATATAAGAGTAGGCCGTAGAGGCAAAATTTCCCTCATAGCACACTGTATGGCGTATGCCCGTCTTCATTAGCCCAGGTTAGGAGCAGAACAGTAGGACGTTAAACCCCATTTCATTTCATTTTATTTTTAATCTGTTTGACCTGACTGATATCTTACAATGTGAAATGATTTACGTCCACCATTCCAACACTTTTTTTTGATCTGCAATACCTTACTGATCGTTATAGTCTACAGATTATATACTAAACAGCAAAAAAAACAAAAAAACGTCAGTATGATTTGAAAATCAGAGAAGCACTTTAATCAAATAATTCTAGAAAACTACTTACTAAATGGATCAAAGTGTTTTTTTGTGAACAGTATGTTGACACATTAGTGATTAATTCATCATAATTCTGTACACAGTCTATACATCAGTATTTGGTGTGCCCACCGCGAGTGTCAATAACAGCAGCGCAGCGTCTGTACATGGAGTGGACCAGACGATTGATGAACGCCATTGGCACCTGGAACCACACTCCTAGAAAAGCCTGACGAAATACATCGGCTATGTTTAGTCTCGGTACGACGTTATTAAGTCTCCTCTGAATTTCATCCCAAAGATGTTCAATCGGGTTTAAAGATGGGTTCCCGCGTACAAACTGGGTGATTTAATTGCATATATGGACTAAAAACATATTCAAACTAATTAACTTGTCATAACTTTGCTTCAAATCCTTCTCAAACATTGTAATTGCGAAGGAATGTCCTGCTATAAAAATTCGATCAAACCAGGTCATGTTTACATCACGTGACTTACCTCTCTTGGAAGTCAGAGGAGAATTCATTGCATACATAAGACGATGTTGTCTTTTATCGCATACTATTTATTACAAATATCGAATCCTAATTAAATTCTCTGATTATCCACTGCCCGCGTCTTTTTCCGTCATTTTTATCTCAGAAAGAGTTGTAAGTCTGACAAGTTTATCAACTTGTACATCAAGCGCACAATGTTTTCGTGTGACCTTTGACATCACGCGTGCAGAAATTCCTAATCGTCGGGCTGTTGATTAGGGGAACCCTTACATTTTTGTCCTGTATACGCTCCATGAGTGTTTTTCGAGGAATCCAATATTTTTCTAGTAAGATTGGATATCTCTACTTTCCATATATACCTAAATTACCATACTTTTATTGGTAATAACCACCCGATAAATACTTTTCTGGGAACCCATCTTTAAGTCCGGACTAAGGGCTGGTCAGTGCATAACGTTGACACCTTTCTGCTGCAGAAAGTCCCGAGTAACTCTGGTGGCGTGGGAACAGGCGTTGTCATGTTGGAAAACGTTGTTTCGATGACGTGCGAAATGTGGTATTACGTGGGGTCTGAGAGAGCTTGATCGATGTAGCGCACTGCTGTGATGCCGCCCCCTCTCCCTGGACCAAGATTTTGGAACTCCACAGGACCCACTCTCTGGTTCAGGCCGATTCCACCCCAAACCATTATGCTTGAACCTCCCCATGAATCTCGTTCCTTGACACATTGTTCGGAATAACGCTGGCCACGTCAACGCCATATTCTGCAGTTGATACGCAATACCGACTCTCATCTGTGAACAGAATAGTTCCCCATTGTCTGTGTCGCCAGTTCTGGTGTTGTTGGGCAAACTGTAGACGTTCACGTCGATGGCCAGGGGTGAGGATCGGTCCACGGTAAGGTCTACGGCAATGGATGTTCTGTCTGGTGAGACGTCGGCGCACTGTGTCGGTACTGATGGGTCTTCCGTGTATTCACACTGTCTTACGTGCTGTCTCAGATGCCTGTGTGAAGGGATTCTGCACGTGCTGTCACACAACATGGCGGCCTTGTCGCCTTGTGGTAACCCTTGGTCTACCAGTTCGGGGGCGATCATCCGTGGTGTTGGTGGCCCGAAAGCGTTGCTGAAGCCTGTAGATGGGTCCGAACATTGACCTGGAAGTGATTGGCAACGGCTTGGGCAATGTGGGAAGCGTCGAGTCTTCCAAGCGCCTGGTTGCTCTGAGCTGCCATAAGTCGCGGCATGCTGCTGACGTTGTAGTGTGAATGATTCAACCAGGTATGGGGGCGCATTTTATAGGGCTGGTCCCGGTGAACAGCACGTGCAACATGAGTTTTAGTTTTCAAACACCTGCTTTATGGAATAATAAACCATTTAGTTTAAGATGTTGTACATCTCTATATTCTTTTAAAAAACAGCTTAAACACAGGCTAACATGTCCATAATCTTGTTGTTTATTTATGATTACATTGTCACTTTGTAAAGAGCCCCTAAACATGTTATATGAAAAGGCACACTATTAATATGCTGTAATAATAAATATCTGTCATTTGTTCATTTGTTTTTATTTATATATTTGTTTTATATAATTACAGGAGATTCCTATGCCCATGGTAGACCATACTGATGATAATATACACTGGTTATATAAATGTATATACTATACACTGGTTATATAACTGTATATACTATACACGGGTTATATAACTGTATATAATATACACTGGTTATATAAATGTATATAATATACACTGGTTATATAACTGTATATAACATACACTGGGTGTATAACTGTATATAATATACACTGGTTATATAACTGTATATAATATACACTGGTTATATAATTGTATATAATATACACTGGTTATATAACTGTAAATAATATACACTGGTTATATAATTGTATATAATATACACTGGTTATATAACTGTATATAACATACACTGGGTGTATAACTGTATATAATATACACTGGTTACATAACTGTATATAATATACACTGGTTATATAATTGTATATAATATACACTGGTTATATAACTGTATATAACATACACTGGGTGTATAACTGTATATAATATACACTGGTTACATAACTATATATAATATACACTGGTTATATAATTGTATATAATATACACTGGTTATATAACTGTATATAATAAACACTGTTTGTCGACTTTGATGCACTAAACAATATAAATATATTCAGAAGTAACTTTTGTGCAAATTTTCGCTGTAGAAAAAATTGTTATACCCTCATTGTAAGGCGTGGAGCTGAACAACGAGCAAACCCTTCAACACATGAACGTATACACCAAGCCTGGACATTCTACCTCTATAGAAACATAGGCGAACGAGCCAGGGATGGGAGGGGGGGGCAGCTAAAAATTATTATTTCATCTAGTTGGCAAAATCAAGTGCCAAAATCTAATAAAACACTAATTTTACTTTACTTTTTAATTGAATATCACGAATTTGTACTGCACTGACTATGGATTAAAACATTTTGTCTGGAGCCACTCTACATTGTGCGACATTTTTCGGGCAGCGATTATTAATTATGAATGCAGCTGCAATAGTCTGCTTGGATGGTTGGAATTCAGGTCGGCATAGAGTAACCATTGGACAACTTTGGAGTTGCTTAACGCACGGGCTAGAATACCAGAAAAACGCATTTGCGGCGGTTAGATTTACAAAAAATTTCGCGGAGAGGCCGAAGCCCCCATACCCCACGACGATTACTTGGTTGGTTGGGATTCAGGTCAGCCACCTATAAGGTAGGCCTAGGCTATATTGGACCACACTGAAGTTGCTGAAATAGCAGAAAAACACGTTTGCGGCAGTTAAATTTTACAAAATTTTCTCCTGATGGTACCGTCTCCGTGGACTGTACACGATTGATTGGTTGATTGGAATTCCAGGCAGCCATCTTAATTAAACTATATTAGACCACCTTACAAAATTTAAAAAATACGAATAAATACTGTTGTATTATACATCATAAAGTTACAGGAGAGTCAGGGTTGGGGCAACTGTTTGATCGGGACACTCTTTATAATCAACAATCACAGGGAATACTTGGTAGCTTCATTAAACTGGAGCTAGGTCACAATCGGATTAAAATACAGATCTATATTGTCGTCGCCCCTGTCCGCCCGTACGTCCGTCCGTCCGTCCGTCCGTCCATCCATCGTCCACAATTTCTTGTGAACGCTCTAACGCCAAAAGTTATCATCCATTTGTTTTAAAATTGATATATGTTGTTTACATTAGTGGGATGAAGAAGCCTATTTAATTTCAATAATTTCCGTTTATAACGTCTAGAGTTATGTCCCTTGTTTCACTTTGTTGAACCTTGTGAAAGCTCTAATGCCAAAAGTTAACATACGATCTTTGTGAAATTTATATGCAATATTTAAATTAGGGAAACGAAGAAGCCTATTGAATTTCAGCAATTTCCGTTATGGCCCTTGTTTCACTTTGTTTAACCTTGTGCTCTAACCCCAAAAGTTATCATCCTATCTTTCTGAAATTTATATGCATTATTTGAATTAGTGAAAAGATGAAGCCTATTGAATTTCAGCAATTTCTTTGTATTACGTCTAGAGTTATGGCCCTTGTTTCACTTTATTGAACTTTGTGAATGCTCTAACATCAAAAGTTATCTGCCGATCTGTATGAAATTTACACGCGTCATTTAAATTAGTAAAGAGAAGAACCCTATTGAATTTCAGCAATTTCCGTTTATTACTTCTAGAGTTATTGCTCTTGTTTCACTTTGTTCAACTTTCTTAATACTCGATTGATGAAAGTTATCATCCGATATGTATGAAATTTATATGCATCATTTAAATTTGTAAAGCGAAAAAAACTGTCAAAGTTTAACAATTTCTGAGACCCTTGTTTCAATTTGCAGAACCTCAAACGGCAAAAATTATAATCTGATCTATATGGAAATGTCTTGTAAAGGTTCCTAATTACCTACAAATGATTAAATATGCAACAACCCTTGTCTACCGTCGGACGATTTAGCCGCTGTGGGCGTATGTTTCGTTGCCTGGCAACCTATCTTTTATATAGAGAAATCCAACACCCCTTTTGACCTCAATTTTTATTATGAATTAATAGGATCACATTGATACTGTACGCTATAGCCTTGTATTTTATTATAATACACGTGTATTAGACTGTATAATACTAGATGTTTTATATGCACCAATAGGCTTTAAAGATCTGTTATGATTTATAAAGGTTTCCAATTGTTGTCCGATTGCACTAACGACTTGTTTAAATTCGGTTTGAATAAGCTTTACAAAATGAATGGGGTTTAACGTCCTACTTTTCTGCACCGACTGGACTAAGGAATGCGTGCATACGTCATACAAAGTACTACAGTCTACTCTTATAGTTTTCAACATAACTGTCAATGGGTTTTTTACGGATGGGACGAAATCTGAGGTACATCGACGTGGATGTAAAGGAAGCATTGACAGTTAATAATTCGATATGAGAGTAGGGCATGACGCCGCTGTCCGGGCCGAGGATGGGGTGGCCGAATGGTTAACGCGTGTGCACTGTATCATAAGGTCCGTCATTGAGTCAACTGGCGTGGTTTTGGATTCTCCGGTTGTACGTGACAAGGAGTAGGGTCGTCTGTCCAGCCTCGTGGGTTTTCTCCGGATTCTCCTGTTTCCTCCCACTGCTAAAGACCCCTACGCGCAAGTGAATTATTGAAATGAAATTAAACCATATGTTAGTCCCGAAATGACCTAGTTTGTTTCGAGTGGACGTTAAACCCCATTTCTCTCTTTCTCCACTGTCCGGGCATATATTCCCCCATAGTACACTGCATGGCGTATGTCCGTCATCATTAGCCCAGTTGGTGCAGAAAAGTTAAACCCCATTTCATTTCATTTCATCATAACGACTGGATGTTTTCCTTGCCATTCCCTCCTTGCACTACTGACAAGGGGACACCACACTGCCCTATACTAATGACAAGGGGACACCACTCCGCCCTGCACTACTGATAAGGGGGCACCACTCTGCCCTGCACTACTGATACGTGAACACCACTCCACCCGGCGCTACTGACAAGGGGACACCAATCCGCCCTGCACTACTGATAAGGGGACACCACTCCGCCCTTCACTACTGACAAGGGGACATCACCCCACCCTGCACTATTGACAAGGGGACACCACTCCGCCTTGCACTACTGATAAGGGGGCACCACTCTGCCCTGCACTACTGATACGTGAACACCACTCCACCCGGCGCTACTGACAAGGGGACACCAATCCGCCCTGCACTACTGATAAGGGGACACCACTCCGCCCTTCACTACTGACAAGGGGACATCACCCCACCCTGCACTATTGACAAGGGGACACCACTCCGCCTTGCATTACTGAGAAGAGGAATACAGCCAGAAAATCGCGAGGTACACCGAGCCGCCGTGTCTCCCTATTTTATTAATATAGAACTATTTAAAGCGACTGTTCCAGATATATTTTATTAAAATATAACTATTTAAAAGTAGCTGTCCCCGATATATTTTGTTAGTGTGAATCCAATTAAAGTAGCTGTAGGTTGTTGGTAACTTGTGTTTTCTATTCTTGCTATGCTATGTCTTGATAGCACTTGCTTAAAGTCAGGAAAAGTCGTGTTCATCAAGTCACTTTTTCGAATTACGTAATTCCGTTAAAGATGAATTATGTAAGAGCTAAATCTACCCATTGCAGGTCTTTCATTTAGCTTCAATTGTTATATAAATTATTATTTAGACAGTAACTAACAAAACAAGCCATCGTTGGATGGCCGTGATTTAAATGGATGTTATCTCTTTTTAAACTATCATTGATGTCAGCTCTTTATCTAAATCTTACATAATGTATCTTTAAAAAGGATCAACTTGATTCACTCGGACGATCAGTAACAAATTCACATTTTCAAATCGGTGTAAACGAAGATCGCACGTCCGATCATGCTATTAATGTTTCCGATTGCACTGTTCTCGCTGAAGGTTGGTTTGAGTCTGTTATTCTTCGTCGCCACTACCGCCATCGGTATCGTCTGATAACATTTTCTCGTCGACACAAGCAGGGTCTTTTTTACACTGGGGACCACAAAATATAGAACCACAACAGTCACACATGACGTCATGAACATAACAGACCCACGAGGCTAGTTTACAGCAGCCATTGTAGTTTCCACAGCAACCGGTACTTGAACCGTGTAAACCCCAGCCGTACGGATAAATACAAACACAACATCCCACCTGGTCCCTGTAATATAAACACAAAATTAGCGTCCATTTAACATAAATCATTATGCACCACCCTCAGATAGATAGACCAGTCGGACTACCAGCCCACTCAGAGAGATAGAACACTTGGCCTACCAGCCCACTCAGAGAGATAGACCAATTGGCCTACCCGCCCACTCAGGGTGATAGACCAGTCGGACTACCAGCCCACTCAGAGAGATAGACCACTTGGCCTACCAGCCCTCTCAGGGAGATAGACCACTTGGCCTACCAGCCCACTCAGAGAGATAGACCACTTGGCCTACCAGCCCACTCAGGGAGATAGACCACTCGACCTCCTACCTACTCAGATAGATAGACCACTCGGCCTCCCACCTGCTCAGATGGACAGACGACTTGTCTTCCAACCAGCTCAGATAGACAGATCACGCGGACTCCAACTCGCCGAGATAGACAGACCACCTGGTCACGCAATCCGCTCAGATAGACAGACCACTCTACCACCAAACCCCCTTCGGAGAGGTTGAAGTTGGCCTTCTTTAAAAGCGTGTCTTTTAATGAAAGTGATTCGCAATGAAACGTCCAAGACACATACCTGTGGAACGGGAAAATACAGAATTTTACCTGGGCAGTGCCGTTGCCCCAGCCTCTTTTTTCAGATTAAAACCTATAAATTATATTTACAAATTGTTATGAAATCGTCTTACCTACAATATAGATCCTTGCACTCAGGTGATGGTCTTTTAAAGACAAGGTCAATTAGTCCAGTTGATCTGGGTACTGGAATAGAAAAAAAATATAAATATACAGTAAGACCTGTTTAATCAGACCAAAAGTTAAATCTACCTTTTGTAGACATTAAAAGAGAGAGAGAGAGATGGGATTTAACGGCCATCGACACAAACTAGCAAACTAGGCAATTTTGGGGCTAACATATAGTTCATTTATATTTCAACAATTCGCTTGTGTGTAGAGGTCTTTGGTTATCTTATGGCGAGAATCCAGACAATCCCCACGAGGTTGGACAGGCTATCCAACTGCTTGTCAAGCACGCCACTTGACTGAATGACAGATTTCACGCGTTAACCATTTGGTCACCCAACCCCCCAGAAATCAGTAGATCGTAGTCCTGGGAAAATTTCCGTCACAACCATGTTCCTGAAGCAACGACTGCGAGTTTCACAACATCTGGCCGTTGCTTGTTTACTTCACAATTGCCGAACTTATAGCTAGGTTATCTATAGATACGTGAGCAGTAGCGTCCAATCAGAGGTTGTGACATCGCGACCTCCACGGAAACCTTGACGTTGAATGAACCTTGAACTTTGCAACTCGATTATCACATGTAGACATTTTAGCTTGAAAGCGCGAGACATGGTATTCGCGACGATCGAGGAATCTGATAGACTCACAAGTTGGGCTTGTACCCAATCGAAATTAGTGCCACAATATACAGGGTATTACGTGAAGGCCTTCATAAGATGTACGTAGTTAAAGCGAGATCAAGCCTTCTATTGAAGATGCGTAACAACGTTCCCGAGGACTACACACAAAGATAATTAATTATCATAATACGTACATCTTTTAGTATGGACGACGGTTTTAACCAAAAGTAGAATACCAACAATAATCACTAGTATTAGATTCTTCAACATGGCTGTCATCTCATTTAAACAATCAATATTTCTATCAACAAATATACGTTCTGATATTATTACACATCGTGTTCACGATTTCAGTCACTATCCAATCTCGTGTTCACGATTTCGGTCAACTATCCAATCTCGTGTTCACGATTTCGGTCAACTATCCAATCTTGTGTTCACGATTTCGGTCAACTATCCAATCTGGTATAAACGCTTACAAACATATAATCCGAATAGTATTCCACATATTGCTATAATATTGTCTATCGCTGTTTAAACTGAATATTTCTCCACATCTTAATATAATATTGTCTATCACTTTTTAAACTGTCAATATCTAATGTTTACACACTGGGTAATATTCGCTATATTACACGTTTAAACTGTCAATATCTAATGTTTACACACTGGGTAATATTCGCTATATTACACGTTTAAACTGTCAATATCTAATGTTTACACGCTGGGTAATATTCGCTATATTACACGGTTAGACTGTCAATATCTAATGTTTATACACTGGGTAATATTCACTATATTAAACGGTTAAACTGTCAATATCTAATATTTATACACCGGGCAATATTCACTATATTACACGATGAAACTGTCAATATCTAATGTTTATACACTGGGCAATATTCCCTATATTACACGGTTAAACTGTCAATATTCCATGTTTATACGCCTGGCAACATCTCAATTAAACGGCAATCTCTCTAACGATGTCCAAACTTTCAATATTCAATGATTATTGTTAACAGTATAAACACCAGACAATTTTCCCTTCTAACTAAAATGATTACTCTCGTTAACTCGTGTTTTATATATTTTTTTATTCCATGCCTGAAAAAAGATAAACACACAATTGTTTTTATTATTTTAGCAGCCTTGGTATTTAAAGATACATTATGTAAGATTTAGATAAAGAACTGACCGTTCTTGCTATAATAGTTCAAAAACAAATAATGTAAAACGAATATATTAAAAATTTCATTCAAATTAATTTATTCTGAGCAAAGACATCAATGTTTGTAGTTTTGACAAGATGTGTGCTTTGATTGTTTATTATCGTAACCACGAGGCTGGTTATTCGAGGCTTAGCCTAGTTTCTCCATTTTTAAAATTAAATCATTAAATGGCCGAACCGTTCTACTCTACTTAGGGGTTTAACGTCCTACTGTTCTGCTCCTATGTTGGGCTAATAAAGACGGGCATACGCCATGTGTGCTATGAGGGAAATTTTGCCCGGGCAGCGGCACTATCGCCTACTCTTATATCGAATTCCAACTGCCAAGGGATCTTTTACTTTTACGTGCATTCCAGTGTGTACACGGGAACTCGGTTTTTTGTCTCATCCGAAGGACTAGACAGCTGTCCTCTATAACATTTAAGGACTAGAGAAGGCATTAGGCAGATTTAGCTTTTGAATAATGCCTCTAAAAAAAAGATATCAGTTTTGTCTGGTAAAGCTTTTGCCTAGGTTCCCACAAATTTACATGGTCGATTTAGGACTAACATATGGTACAGTTTTTATTCAAAAATTTGTGTGCGCGTAGCGTTCTGTTAGGTTTTTTTAAAACATGCATATTAAAGATGACCATTGTTGCTATAATAGTTAAAAAAAAAAAAAAAAAAAAGATAATGAATAAAATAAATATATTCAAAATCTATTTCAAATTACTTTTTTACGCGAAGTTATGAGGTAGCGTATATTGTTTATTATCGTAGAAACGGTACTTGACAACCGAGACTATCCATTTTATCGTTACATTTTTAAAACACGCGGGCGTTCAAATCCACCTAAATCTCGGCCATCCGATGACCTTGGGAGTTGATTATAGGTGAATAAATGTTTAAATACCGGTAATAATTTATATACTCAAAGTCAGAAAAAAGACCGGGGCCCGAATTCACAAAGCATTCTCAGACTTAAGTTGAGAATTTACTCAACTTTCAATCACTGTTTATGAGAAATATCTTTGATCCAGAAACACAAAACTTTGCACATAGTTTCTTATTGATATTGATGTACCTGGTACATTAAAACAACAAAATTATTATAAAGGGCTATATTTTAATTAAAATAAGGTGAACAAGTTTGAGTAAATTCTCAACTTAAAGGAGCTAAATCGCTAATTTTGGGCCTAGAAATTGGCACAAATGGTTCGCAACACATAATAATGTAATATGAATTTATATAAACTGTTTTACATTCAATAGTTTCCGTTTTACTGTGAATTGTCATCAGTTTTGTTCGGCGAAATACGTCAGAAGTCTCAACCGAAAAACAGTTTCTAGCGTCTGGTTATTCCGTCAACACCGATAGTATATATTGCGCATAATCTCCAAATAAGAATATGGTATCACCGTTTGACATAACTTGTGGAATATCTAGCCTCATTCTTTGAGCACCTTGTTACAAATGGCGCTGAAATGTATTATGGTAAAAAAATTTATTTTGTCTTAAATATTGAATAGCAGAAGCCCACCTTTTCCAGGTAAGACCACGACACCAATGCTGATTTAAATTGCAAAAAAAAAATCGTGTTTTCAATGTCTAAGATTTTGGAAGATATTGAGTTACGGACATAGCTACTTTAAGTCTGAGAATGCTTTGTGAACTCGGGCCCTGCATTTAGACAGATGTAGCTCTTACATAATGCATCTTTAAAAAGATTTAAAACTCAATCTGTTAGACTAGGCCCTATCCTTAACTCGATCGTTGCTATGACGTCATGCCCCTTATCCGATTATTAGTTAGGCCTATACTGCGCGCAAAGTCCATCTACATGTATAGGCCTATATTGCACAATTTTTTCTAAATTTTACTGAATTTACAATCATTGGTCAGTATTCATAAACTGGATAATTCATTTAAATATTCGCCAGGATTGATATGCTTCACGCAGCATAATAAAGACGTCATCGGTACGGCGTTTGTGTTTAGCCTTAGGCTTAGCTGGTTGTTTGTAACTTGTCGGCATGAAGACGTCAAACGACGAATTTGTTAAACTCCCTAAAATCCCTCACAGGAAAATTTATGCGACCATTCTACCAATAATGCAAATATTTACTGAAACTAAAATGAATAACGTTGATTATATGCCGAAAATAACCGAAATATTTACTGAAACTAAAATGAATAACGTTGATTATACGCCGAAAAACACAAATAAAAATATAAAAAAAATAAACAAAATAATCGCTAACAAAATCGATTTGTAAACATCCGGTTTCAAGAATAGTTACCTCCCCTTACATATGACTTTGAATGTCCAGACCATTGACGTCAATAGTCCAGACGCAAAATTTGGGAAGTGAATTAAAGTGCGTGTGAAATAGCCGGTTGTTTTAAGTCACTTGGAAAAAGTTTAAGAAATATCACTATTTATTTAGTGCTAGAAAGTCGATAAACATTTCGTGTTTCGAATTCAGATGGTTGATATTACAATAACACCCTTTTAAATTCGAACTTTATCTCCAATATGTTTACAGAAGTTGAATTTCTGCCAGTCAGAATCGAGAAAATTCAAATTTGTGCTACAATTTTAAACTACAGACATCATTGATACGTCATTGACAAACACAAAGGCGGACAACCTTTTTCTACAATCACGCTGACAAGAGAGAGAGAGAGAGATAGGTTTAACATCCACTTGACACAAACTAGGTCATTTCGGGACTAACATATGGTTCAATTTTATTTTAATAATTGGCTTACGCGTAGGGGTCTTTAGCAGTGGGAGGAAACCGGAGGACCCAGAGAAAATCCAAAAGGTTTGACAGGCGACCCTACTCCTTGTCACGTACAACCGGGGAATCGAAACCACGCACATAGAACACGCACGCGCTAAACATTCGCCCCCTCAACATTATTATAGAAACTACAGACAAACACACGAAGAATAGTAGGGCAGAACTCAATAAACTGTATGTACCCGTAGGCCTATAGATCCTATAAATCACGATGTATTTCGAGATCTGTAAATTCTATGGTTGTTTAACACTACGACAAACACACGGACATCAGTAAGGCTAATGAACTACGTATTGATCCAAAAACACGGATATAAGTAAGATCCAACAAAACTGAAAAATATCGATCTATTTAGACACTCTATAAAATCCAATATTCTTTTTACACGAAATAGACAAACACGTGGACAATAGTAAGGCACAACTCAATGAATTATGGTTACCGGTATATTGGTGTAGATCCAAGCACTAATACAAATCTCGGTGTGTTTAGACCCTCTATAAATTCCAATATTTTTTTTACACTAAATAAACAAACACTCGGACAATAGTAAGGCACAACTCAATGAATTATGGTTACCGGTATAGCGGTATAAATCCAAGCGCTAATACAAATCTCGGTGTGTTTAGAGGTCTATATCAATTCCAATTCCTGGGTTCTTTAACACTAAATAGACAAATACTCGGACAATAGTAAGAGAAAACTTGAATACGTCTCGCGGTATATAAATTCCATAATTGTTTTGTAAAGTTTTCAGAATTTCTCACAAACAGGTATAAACTGGTTAATGCATATTTAGATCTAACAATAATTACACAGAACACTGCTTCACTTCACTTCCAAACAACATTTAATTTAAAGGTAATCCACTCTGATTTTAGGTTTTTTGTTTTTTTAAAGATAAATTATGGGAGATTAGATAAAGAGTTGCCAGTTCTCGCTATAATGGTTAAAATATAGAAAACGTAAATAGAATATACTCTGAACCGAGATATTAACTTTTATTGAATTTTAGGCTAGCTTCGATCAAGTCGGTACGATAAAAAAAAAATAAAGTCTCGATTACCTATTTCTACGTTTAATTATTTTTCCAAAAATGTATTCCAATCCGCTAACGATGACATTGGGAGTTGATTATGGTCTGGTTAAATTGATTAATTTCTAATTAGTATTTTAGATAACATTTCAGGCCCAAAAAATACCTGCAATAGGCACATTTAGCCTATTTCAGATCTTTCTTTAGACATTAATTAACTTATCAAGACCATAATCAATCCTCGATGTCATTGCTAGCCTGCGATATTTATTGGATTAAGATCCGATTTGCTGCTCAACTTTCATTCATGATTTAATCATGAAATGGATAATCGAGACTATGTTTTTATCGTATCGACTTTAGGTCTGAAATGTTATCTAAATTATTAATTAGACATTAATTAACTTATCAAGACCATGATCAATCCTCGATGTCATTGCTAGCCTGCGATATTTATTGGATTAAGATCCGATTTGCTGCTCAACTTTCATTCATGATTTAATCATGAAATGGATAATCGAGACTATGTTTTTATCGTATCGACTTTAGTAATGATGATCGAGGCTAAACCCAAAATTTAATCGCTAAAATCTCGGTTCAGAGTGGATCAATTTGACTGAAATTTTCGGCAAATTCCTTTTACATTATCTAGTTTTTACCTATTATAGTGAGAACTGCCAACTCTGTATCTAATCTCCCATAATGTATCTTTAAGTGAGGTTTATATCATTGCAGTACACAGTGGATCAGGATCCATTCATTTGATCTGATATTTCTTGTTTATTTCTGGAAATGTCTATTTAGTTTGTCTCGTCGACCGCAGGCGGCAATACTATATACCGGAAAACACCGGAAAACAACCGGAAAACAACATTTTATACTGAATACCGGAAAACACCGGAAAAACACTAAATACCGGAAAACACACTAAATACCTGAAACCACCCTAAATAGGTAACCCGGAGACTGGCACCCTAAATAGATAACTGGGAGCCTGGTCCTCTGTGTGCCCGGGTTATGATTAGGGTTAGGGTTAGTTTCCGGTTTATAATATAGCCCTTCACCGGGTTACCTATTTAGGGTGGTTTCCGGTATTTAGTGTGTTTTCCGGTATTTAGTGTTTTTCCGGTGTTTTACGGGATTCACTATAACATGGTGTTTTCCGGTTGTTTTCCGGTGTTTTTCAGTGTTTTCCGGTATATAGTATAGCCCTCCGCAGGGTCCGTTTTATTTGTGTGTAGTGTGGTCCTCCTGCACTTACTGTTATTGTTGTATCTAAGTCATAAACACAGAAAATAAATACGACTAATAAATTAACACATTTTTTTTGTTTAAGGGATGCATTATGTAAGATTTAGATAAAGAGCTGGTCGTTTTTGCCGTAATAGTTCAAAAATAGATAATGAAAAAGGAATATATCAAAAAAATTCAGTAAAATTACTTTATTCTGAGCGAAGTTATTAGGCTACTCTTTGAAGCTTTGATACGAATATCGTAGTCTCGGTTTTCATTACTATCATGTTACGAGAATAACTTAATCTCGATTGTCCAGTTTTAAATTAAACTATTAAATGACGAGTGTGTTCCAATCCATTAAAAATCACGAGCATCCGATGATCTAGAGAGTTGATTATGGTCTTGCCAGGTGAATAAATGTCTAATTAATAACTTTTATAACATTTCAGGCCTAAAGAAAGAACTGCAATAGGCAGATTTAGCTCTTGAATAAGATAATATTTAAGGTAATAGAGATTAAACATACATTATGCAAGAGCTAAATCTGTCTATTACAGGTCTTTCTTTCGGCCTGAAATGTTATCTAAATTATTAATTAGACATTAATTAACTTATCCAGACTATAATCAACTCTAGATGGCATCGCTAGCCTGCGATCTTAAGTGGATTGGGAGCCGATTTACTGCATAACTTTCCTTCTCGATTAAACGATTTACTAGATAATCGAGACTATGATGTTTATCGTACTGACTTTAGTAATGATGACCGAGGCTAGGCAGAAATCTCATTCGCTTAGTTTTCGGTTGATAGTGGATCAATTTGAATGAAATTTTCAGCAAATTGCCTTTACGTTATCTAGTTTTTAACTATTATAGTGAGAACTGCCAACTCGTTATCGAATCTCCCATGATGTATCTTTAACCACTTTAAAAGTTGAACTGTCTGAAATATGTTTTATCGATGTTATAACCAGACTAGAATTTTCTGCCAAATATTCTAGACGTTTTAAACGACTTTACGGTTATTTACCAGTTTCCTAATTTAACAGTCAGCAGTAATTAGCTATATTATAGGTTTTTATGCTAACAGGCGCATGTCGATAATTACACTAACCGTGCGCCATTTGCATTTGCGTCATCGCTAAAATATCAAATTTCTCTGGTTAGATCTTTGGTAAGAGGATCACGTGGCTAAGTGGGTAAGACGCTGGCTCGCTAGCCTGGAGGTCGGGTGTTCGATCCCTGCATCGGCCGAGAAAGTTCATCCAGATTTTCCGGCGTGGTTCCCCCTTGTCAGTGATGCAGGACGGAGGGCCTTACAAGGACAGCTGTCTAGTCCTTCGGATGAAATGAAAACCCAAGGTCACGTGTATACATTGGAATGCACCTAAAAGATCCCTTGGCAGTTGGAATTCGATATAAGAGTAGGCGATAGTGCCGCTGCCCGGGCAAAATTTCCCTCATAGCACAATGTATGGCGTATGCCCGTCTTCATTAGCCCAGCATAGGAGCAGAACAGTAGGACGTTAAACCCCATTTCATTTCATTTCAGATCTTTGGTAAGGCCAACTTCAAGTTTGGTCAAAGGTCATGAGATGTAAACAGGGCTAGCGCTAATCCCAACCCTAACCCGAACCCTGGACCTAGCCCTAACGCTTAACCTACAATCTAACCAACAATCTCGTGTCCTAACCTTATTTACATCTCAGCGACCTTGGCGAAAATTGAGTTGGCCTTAACAAATAGATCTAGCCAATTTCCCATAGGGCTTAATCCACGCCAATATGTTCCCGGGCTGATTATTTAACATTTAATTAAAGATACATTATTCAAGGGCTAAATATGCCCATTGCAGGACTTTCTTTGGGCCTGTAATGTTATATAAATTATTAATTAGACATTTATTAACATGACAAGACCATAATCAACTTTCATTGCCATCGGGTGGCTCCGATTTTTAAGTAGATTAGAACGTTTCGGAGATTTAATGATTTAATATAAAACTGGAGATGCGAGGCTAAGACTCGAATGACCAGTACGGTAGTTATGATTAATGCACACATCTTGTCAAAACTACAACCATTGATAACTTGACTCGAAATAAAGTAATTTGTATGAAATTTTCAATATATTCATTTTGCATTATATGTTTTTAAAATATTATAGCAAGAACGGTCAGCTCTTTATCTAAATTTTACATAATGTCCCTTTAATTAAGAAAACAAAATCCAAATACCAAGGCTAAATAACCAGTTGCTCAGATACAATCGGATTAAAAACATTTCTGTTCGTCCACAATAAAATGGCGACGGGCTGATTACATAGCGAGCAGCATTGATCTATGATATTTCAATTTAGCATATCTTTGTAAATGTTAAATGGAATTGAACCGTATTTGCCTTGCTCGGACTATTAGAGAGAGAGAGAGAGAGAGAGAGAGAGAGAGAGATGGGGTTTAACGTCCACTCGACACAAACTAGGTCATTTCGGGACTAACATATGGTTTAATTTTATTTCAATAATTCGCTTGCGCGTAGGGGTCTTTTTAGTAGTGGGAGGAAACCGGAGGACGCGGAGAAAACCCACGAGGTTGGACAGGCGACCCTACTCCTTGTCACGTACAACCGGGGAATCGAAGCCACACCAGTTGACTCAATGACAGACTTTATGGTACAGCCCGCACGTGCTAACCATTCAGCCATCCAACCTCCTTGCAAGTAAAGGGATTAATATCGCACTAAAATGATGCAGGGGGTTTGGATGGTCGAACGGTTTAACGCGTGTGTGTTAGGTCATAAGGTCTGTCATTGAGTGTGGCTTCGATTCCCCGCTTGTACGTTACAAGTAGTGGGGTCGCCTGTCCAACCTCGTGGGTTTACTCCGGGTCCTCCGGTTTCCGCCTGTAGCTAGCAAATTATTGAAATAAAAATGAATCATGTTAGTCTCTCTCTCTCTCTCTCTCACCCCCTTCTCTCTCTCCCCCCCCCCTCTCTCTCTCTCGCTACCGACTCCTACGCCCAAGCGATATATTGAAATAAAATTGAACCATATGCTAGTCCCAAACTGACCCCTCTCTCTCTCTCTCTCTCTCTTTGGCCAGGTGAGTCACATACCACGCCCACACTGATGATAACAAACTACCTAACGACCCATTACGTTTTATTAATTTAACAAAATACGCAGTTTACAATCTTTGTGCGTCATTTCCCGTTATCGGGAAATAGCAAATGTTCTACGATTAAATAAAGTCAAATTGATTATTAAGCATTTAATAAAGAAAACAAACGACGCAATTTAAAAAGTTTTGTGCTCCATTTGCCGTTTTCAGAAAATATAAAATTTTCTACGACTTAATCCGCGGTAAACTGTAGTCAAATGATTCAATCGAATTAAAATGGGGCCCATCAAAAAAATCAGCGAAAATCATAGGTGTTGCTGTTATGTTATATATAAGAGAGAATGAGAGAGGGAGAGAGAGAGAGAGAGGGGGGTAACGTCCATTCGACACAGCGAAGGAGAGAGAGA